TTGTTGACGTCGACGGCCAAGATCTCGAGGAGGCCGGTGACGGTGTTGATCACCTTGCCGAGAAGTGACTTGCCCATCGTGGTGGCAGCAGCGAGAACCAGAGACAGCACCTTTTGGTCTTGAACGATGAGAATCGGCGGAGTAGTTTGAGTCTCTAGCCATCCGTCGTAGCCGTGCACGGAGCTGTCGAGGCCGCCGGGGAGATAGTGACACTTTTCGAGCTTCTTGTAGTACTCTCGCATCTTGGAAGCCTTCGGAAGCCATTATTGTCAGCATTTTCCAGCCATCGCCGAGGAAGTCGGTAATTACTCACCTCCCACGAGCTGTCACCAGTGATGGCCGCAATGTTGTCCCAATCACTATCCTGAGGCAGAATGGTGACAAGAGCATTGTGCTTTTGAGATTGTCAGCTAATGGAACACTAGCCTACGTCGAGACGACTTACCTGTGAGCAACCACCGAGGGCGCCGACACGAGGATACAAGATTCCCAACTGCTCAGACCCCTCTGGCGGGTTGAGACCAACATAGATCTCTCCATCCGGCTTTCGATACGACATCTTGCTGTCCCTCTTGGCCTGCTCCGGATCAGAGTAGTGGTTGACGAAGAAATCCCACGCGATCGGCTGATGTTGAGAAGCCAGAACGTGCAGAGCCGGAACCTGGACGGCCGGGTCTTCGCCTCGATCCTCACCGGCGTCGATGAGCAGGACACTGAAGCCGGCCATGGCCAGGCGGGCAGCGAGGGGAGCACCGCCAGGCCCGGAGCCGACTACGACGTAGTCATACGTCGATTTGTCTGTAGGTCCCGTGGCATTGAGGGTCGGACCAAGGGGTTGATCGAAGCTGGTTTGTGTAAGCCGATGATTCGCACGATAAGCGTGTAGGTATTGACTAAGACTAAGTGTGAGAACTTACGCCGCATGGGCAGCCGCGAAAAGCGCCGCAACAGAGAAAAGGAACTTCATGGTAACATCCAATGAAGGTGACTGAAACGCAACCGAAAGCAAAAACACGACGAATGAGTGACTGGCTGGCGAGTTTGTTGAGATGCAAAGGAATGACTGCTGCCAAATGGCTAAGAGTTGGTGGAACCAAGACAGGCGAAGCGACTCAAAAAGTCAGAACCTCAAACGTTAAGTATGGGTTCATGAGAACGCTCCTTTTCGGACTCATTTCGAACGTATCTCCACTGATTGGCGATGCTGATGTGACGAGAGGCATCATCTCCCGTGAAGCCGGCACGCTCATGAAGGGGGCACGAGAAGTGAGACATGGGGAAAAGATGCTTTGATCTGCCAGTTTCCTTTCCTAACTTGAGGTTGCATTGGCGTCGACAACTCTCTGGCATGCCTGTCGAGGATTCAACCAGGGTCGTAGACGAAATGAGAGAAAAACATGGGCCCTGTCAAAACGTCAAAACACCACCCCCGGATCCTGCTCCGCCATTGGGGAAAATTGCTGCCCACACCAATGAAGCTCTACTTGTACGACAAGCAACTGTCCAACAGAACAAGCATGGCAGAACCTTGCTGAGCGAGCACAATCCGACGTGGACACATCCACAGCCAGGGGTCACGAATCGAGAAACGATAGCCCTACACTTGGCCCCATTGTCCGAACGCTCTTGGACGACGGGTATGGAGATTCTAGAGGGGCCCATTGCTTCGATGCCACTACGATTCACGCAACGAACGACAGACGGGAGACAGACTGGAGACAGAACAGACAGATCAGGCGCGCAAGCACTTACCGCCTCCTTGTTGTCGGGTTGGCCCTGGTCTGAAGAACCGTTGATCTCACTCTTACTGCCGTTGCAGTGCATATACAGAATACCAGGAATAACGAAAAGCATGTTAGCGATCCCCTGCGGTTCATTGGCCACTCGCGAACCCCTCCTCTTCCTCCATTCGTGATAATTTAACCGCTTTGGGACTGAGCTCAACGGTTTGGACGTCGACAGGCGGGTGATGGAGAGATGAAGAGATTTGGCTTTTACGTAGCCAAGTTAGCTCAACTGCCGCCGCTAAGAAATCGGGCCACTCTTTTCGGAAAGTTCACTCGTAAGTTTGCTGGTCAAGGACTCTAGCGAACCGTTTTGACCGGCATCTGCATCCGACGCAGGCCACATCCAAGTCTCCTCAGTTTTTCACGGAATTTTCCTTCTCAACTACACCAGGGGTTCGACGACGATCCAAAGCAAGATCGTCGGCTACAAGGCAACGCAGAAATGACTCGCCCACTTCAGAGCGACTCCAGAATGAAGAAATCCAGGGACAGCATCCTAGAGAGAGACGAACCCGAGAGCCAAGGATCACGGCAGATGCCGCCATCTATGTGATGAACTTGACAGGCGGAGGAAGGATGGCACGCAAGTCACGATATGAGGTTAAAAGTAACACCCCCTTCTTCTTCTTCTCTAAATCCGGTCTAGGGAACTCCGTCTCTCTCGGTTACGATTTACATACTTGAAAAGGAAACCCGGAATCCCGCTCGTGCTTCTCTTCCCCATCCTTTCTTGCTCTCTCGTACGACATCCCCCCTTCACAATATCGGTCGCCATGAAGCTTTCAGGCATGCTGGCGGCCACGGCCGCAGCCCTCGCGGCCTTCTCTTCAACGGCCCAAGCCGCGACTTCAGCTGCGGAAGCGTTGGCCATGGCTCAGAAGCTATACCCGGAATGCGCAGTAAGTATTGAATAGTGAGCGGATCTCCCGCGCTTAGCGTCAAGACGGTGGCAAGTTTTTTGGCTGATCAGTGCGGCATCCCCATCTTTTCCCGACTACAGCTCGTCTGTCTCACCAAGCTTGTCCCGACGTCGGGTTGCCAGCTTACGGACACTGCGTGTCTTTGCACCAACGAGGAACTCAATGCCAACCTCTCTGTCTGCGTGTTGCAGGGATGCAACTATGAGGATGCCCTCAGTAAGTGCCTTTGCCTTGCTTTAGCTTTGAGACCGTTCAAGGCATATTCTCAGCATTACAAATGGGAGGATTTGACTGGCTCGTGTTGATGCTGCGCTAGAAACTAAGAATGGCTCGGCGACCATGTGCGGCCTACCTGTTCGAGATGATACTATGAAGCCCCCTCTCGTAGCGGGTGTAGGATTTGGTATAGCCCTCATCATTTACATACTCCGTATGTGTTCTGCTCTGCCTGGATGCAACAGAGAACTCAGCTGGGATGACTGGACCATCACCGCTTGCGTTCTTCTCACGATCCCGCCAACTGTCTTTGCCTTCACACGTAGGTGTTCCTCCATGAACACGTATCCCGTGTAATTTGAGACTGACTGATCTAGTTTCTGCAAATGGATTGGGAAAGGACATTTGGACTCTGCCCCTCCAGAACGTTGAGAACGTGCTGTTTGTAAGTGACCAAATCCACTCACACCTCGTCTCAACCAAGAACAACGACTAACACCAACGCCCCTCACCAACAGTTCTACTTCCTCGGAGAGCTCTTCTATTTCCTCGCACAGGCAATGAACAAAGTCTCTATCCTCCTCTTTCTCCACCGCATCTTCCAGCACAACAGCCTCGGCAAGGCCATCTGGGTCACCATCGGCCTCACCCTGGCCTACGCCGCCGCCTTCTTCTTCGCCACGCTCTTCCAATGCTGGCCCATCAACCACGCCTGGCTGCAGCTCGAGTCAGATCACCTGGGCCGCTGCAACAACATCCACCTCCAGGGATGGTTGAGCGCGGCTTTCAACATCGTGCTGGATATCGTCATCCTGGCGCTCCCCTTGCACCAGCTTTACCAGCTGCAGATGCCTTTGAAAAAGAAGCTCATGGTAATGGTTGTGTTCTCCATGGGCATCTTGTAAGTCCCCTGAGACACCCCTCTACTGTCATCCCACTATCTCAACAAAGGGACAAGACTAACTGGTCTCCCACAGCGTCACTCTCGCCAGCGTAATCCGCCTCCGCACCCTCGTCGTCTTCGCAAACTCGACCAACATCACGTACGACTACGTCGACGCGGCTTACTGGAGCACAATCGAGCTCTACGCAGGCATCATCACGGCCTCCCTCCCTGCCGTCTACAAGTTCCTCTCTAGCGCCTTGTCCCAGAACGCCGCCTGGTCGGCTGTCAAGTCCAAGCTGTCTGGCGCATCGTCGGGCTCGAGGGGTACCGACAACTCGCACTCGGCGGTGGCGACTGGGTCCAGTGGTTTGAATCGACGGCTTACGCCGAAGAGGTCTGAGGCTGAGTTTGTGCTTTTGACGGATGTTGAAAGTGGCAAGAGTCAGAGGTGGGACTAGGTAGTGGACAGTTTGGAGATAACATAATCTTGCAGTAATGCACTGTACATAACATCATCAATTTCTCCTCTTACACGCGATATGTGCACCTACCTCACCGAGTACCTCACACCAGCAAGATAGTTTATACATCCTTTCTCAACAAGGTACAACTGGATGGAACTGTTGGAGAAGATCAAGCAAGTATAAAACCACTTCCAGAGTGTCCTGGACTCTCATGTTCACCAGAATTGCCAGATTGGGGGATCTGGATACCCAGTCGGTACCAAGCCGCGGTGGTCTTGTCGTTCGGCGAGCGGACAAAGTGATGGCTGCGAGGATCTCACGACCCATAAGAGGGTATCTCTGTCTCTTCAAGTGAATAATACGCAATACTGCTCATCAGTGAAGGCAGACGTCTTCTGCGTATTCGCTCGTGAAAGAGCGAAAGATAGAGGACAGTCAAGATGAAAAGGAAATCTCTTACTACAACTCATGTCTGCCTCGGTCCTTGATGATCGCCATTCTCTGAAAGACAATGTGCTGGACTCAAGCGCACCGACCAAAAAAGGGCCCCCGGAACTACAAGGAGCTCTGGGAACACGGAGTATTGTCTGCAGAAAGACTGAGACTCTTGGGATCACCTCCTGTCGGTTTTTATTGGAACCTGGGCCATACAGAAACGCCAAGATTGCAATTCCGATATGCGCTCATCCCATCGAAGCGCACGACAGATCACCGACGAAGGAGAAGACTAGACGCTGATGGTAATATTACCTTTTCCACCATTGACCCAGACGGATTTCTGCCCCGAAAGCACCAAATATCCCCGAGTCGACGCCGGTGTGTCCCATTCAACGACAGCCGTTCCTTCATCCCCAACGGTAAACTTTGCAGAAAACTTGCCCAAGCTCGTCGTGAACCCAGCCTCGGCTTCCAGGAGCTCGCTCAGCACAGGCTTGAGCTGCCACTCGCTTCCGCCGGGCTTGGTGACCCTCAGTCCGACAAGATACTCCGTCATAGTCGAAGTTGGACCACTGCTCCACCCATGAGCATGCGAGATATAAGACGGATCGTTCCGGTACCCGCGATCTCCTCGATAGCCCCATGTTCCATCGATGAGATACCCCTCCACGACGGTAGACTGCGTGCCGTTGGGGTTGTTCAGGTACCAGCCCCACGCGTCTCGGATAAGCTGTAAGGCCCGATCGGGGCGTCCCGTTCGGAAGTGCGTGGCGATCTCGATGCTGGAGATGAATGGCGACACGTTGTTTTTGAGTTCGGGGCAGTGAGGACCGATCGGGGTCCAGTTTGATTCGAGGTAGTCGGACACCTTTTGCGCTTCGGCGCTATCTGCGGAGACGACACCAAAGGCGACTGCCATGCTGTTCGCGTCTTGTGGATACAGCGACGTGTTGTCGGGACTTTCCTTGAACGCCCCCTTGATTTCATCCCATAGCTCAGTCATGATGGACGCTTGCAGCTTGCTCGCGGCGCTTGTCCAGTCTTTCTGGTAGCTGCTCGCGTTCGTGAGGGTAGGAGACCAAGAGGTGATGTCGGCGCCGGTGCGCAGGGCTCGATACACTCTGGTCGTAGAGTTAGTGTTTCCCTTGGCCGAGAAGAACATTCACCTACAGCATGCTTGCTGAGCTGCGCTCAGTGGAGTATGTCCATCGGCCCCAGTCCGCGGCGCCAGTCACGTTCATGATTCCCTTGTCTGAGACTTTGCTTCTACTGAGGTTGATTGCTTTGAGGTACTTGGGCCAGATGGAAGTCATGAAGTCCGTGTCGCCGGTGTACAAGAAGTAGTTGTAAGTGCCAACCAGTGTCCACAGATGGTATGCTATGCTTGCACCGTCAGCTTGACTTCTTGTCACCCTAAACTTGTCTCGACTTACTGTCGCTATCCTTCGAGAGATATGGTGGACCGGCTTTTGGCAAAGTACCGTCGGCAGACTAACGAGCGACACGTTGAGTAAATGTCAATTTCATCATCTTTGGGGCAACTTACCTGGTAGTTGTAGATCGCCAAGAGGGCATTCTTCGTGCTCTCCATATCGCCGGTGCTCACAAATGCAGAAGGCACCGCAGTCCCCATATCCCCAATCCAGACCCAGCGATCACGCTTCGCTCCATCCAGAAGGACGGTCTCCCCGGGCCCAATGTAAGCGTCATTCTGCCAGCTCGTGCGTCCACTTGTCCCAGACACGCGACCAGTCTTGCCCGGCACGGAGTTCGTCTGGATGGTATACGCCCCGCTGTACCAGATCCTGTTGAGGAGCTCGTCGCTGGAGTGGAAGTATCCCTGATAGGCTCTAAGATCGGACCATGTCGGCTGGAAGCTCATCTCCAGACTGATATTGCGAATCTCCAGCGAGACGGCGGACGATGAGTCGAATGGCGTGAGAAATAAGGTCAGATACCGGAAGCCGCCGCGTAGCTTCGGATCGGGCATGATGTAGGTTCCCGCTGCGTCCGAGGTGATGTTGTATGCGAGAGCGCCGTCTTGTCCGGTACCACCATTCGAGTTGTCTGACTTGCGACCAATGTAGTTTTTCGCCTCTGTGAAAGCGAGGCCGAGAGTGGCGTTGGTGAACTGGGAGAGCTTGTAGTCGATGGTCACGATGCCACCTACTTCGACGCCAAAGTCGAAGACCAGGCCGTCGATTTGGCTGGAAAGATTGACCGGTGCGGTAAAATTGGAGATTGCAGCTCCAGATGGTGAGGATAAGATGTACTTTGGTGTGACGTTACGAGAAGTGGGAGCATAGTTGTACTGGTCCCAAACTCCTGGGAACGAAGCAGAGCTTGGTCCATTGCAGGTCGTGTTTCGCCAGCATTCAGCAGAACAGTAATTTGCAAGGAGAGTTGTTGCCGCAAAGGCTCGAATAGACGGTTGTGATATCAACATGCTGGAACTGGGTTTGCCGTTGTGGCTGCAATGGTGCAGAAGGAAGTGGTGCGACCTGGTTAAGTTCCGATGACACGAGGCATATCAAGCGCCTTAGACTTTATGCCGAGGCGGCTGTGGGTGATCATGTTCACGAGACAAGAAGCTTTGGTGGAATATCTTGACTACCTCCTTTGCGCTTCGACAGCTGAGCTTCGGCTGTCGTCACATTTACTTGCGCGGAGTCAACCTCAATTGAGTCCATCTTCGGTGTAGATTGCCGCGGATGACGCCAATCACAGCAGTTACAACCCAGGCACCGATGCAGAAGCGGGAATACCCACGCATACCCCGGTCTAGCACTTTACCAGATTGAGGACAGAACTTCATGTCGGTCGTGGGGTTCCCCAACTTCTGCCTGTGTACCCCGCAATGCCTCTCCATACGAATTTGTACGGATACATCAAAGGGATGTGGGTTTGTTTCCTTTGGGCCGATGATGCTGATTTGCGTTGAACGTCCATCGCGATCAAACATGGGTCTGCTAAGGTGGGATGTAACCTCCATGCTCCCGCCCGGATAGCTCCAGGTGGACGACCGGACTCTGCTTTTTCTTCTTTCGGGACGAAATGATCCGAAGATACGATGGATGTCTTCTGATAGTATGAATTCCTATCCAGCGACAGAGGTTCTGTGACGCCCTCGGAGATGCTGAGATCTTGTCTTGTAGACTAAAGGCGGACCGATATCGATATCTGGCTTTGGGATTTCAGACGGATCAAGCCTCATCGTTGTCCTTTATCGTCGAAGATCAACATTGTAGCACGAATCTGAGTCGCATCAGAAAGTTCAGGACAGATGATGCATCGTCGGTGCAGAAACTCGCTGTCTAGAGGCGGGATGTTACGGCTCGTGGACCGAGACGGAAGAGAGAGACGGTAACTTGATTAAGACCCATCTATCGGTTTTTCGTCGCCATTAAGTGAACTGCTCTAGATCCATGGTGGCTGAAGGTATTCCTCAACGACGAACCTAGGACCCCTTGCCTCTACCCCCAATCCCACCTGAGTACTCGATGTAGAGGTAGAAGCGAAGATGCTGGGTTAGTGAGGGGACATGATGAGCCCGAAAATGTCGTCCAAGGCTTCGTGGTCCGAGTCTCAACCGGTGGATTCTAGACAAAAGGGTGCTCCGAGGACCCGAATCTCCAACGAACCGTCCTTCCAGGTATTGGTGAGGGCCTGAATGGCCAAGTTAGGAAGAACTTCCTATCGTAATGAACTGCCTTACTTCATAGTTAATGACTTGGCCTTGCTCTTCCTAGTCATGAAAGTCGGTCGCATCGAACAAGCAGCTTGAAATCTTTTCAACTATTTTGGCGAAATCACCTCATGACAACTCCCTCAGCTTCAACATCCACCGACACAGTCACCCAGTAAGCCAGCTACAACTTACACAAGCCCAGCAACACAATATGGATCGTCTCAGACGACTGCTCGTTCATCATAACCACCGTCTCTTCCAACGTTTTCGAACGGAAACAACAAAGTCGTCCTCTGCAGACAACGCTTCACCGATCCAGTCCCTCCCAAACGAGATCCTGTACCAGATACTCAGTTCCCTCCCGCTACACGACGAATTCGCTCTCTCTCACACCTGCAAAGGCCTTCGTATCCTCACGCACAGAGACTGGACCCTCGCCCTTATCTCACTCCCTCGCAACCACAAACTCGCCTTCTGGACGGGCCTCGCTTACACCAAGCCGAACCACTGGGTATGCAGCCCCTGCTGCTGTCTTCACAGGATTTGTACGCAAGATATCCCCGGAGCCAAGAGCCACAACCCCTTTCCCTGCCAGCAAAACTCTCGCCACATTTTTAATCCGAAGAACTACAATCTCCGGCATGCGCACGTACAGCTCGCTCTTAAATTGGCTCGTATGAGTGATAGCGGGGCAATAGACAAGAACCAGCAACGACTCCTTGAGGACATTATGGCGCCATTCACATCGCGAGTAGACGTACCTGCAAACCTCATCTCCACCACGAGCCGGTACGCCTTCACACCCAAGATTATCGAGGGCAGGTTCCTAATTCACATGGAGCACGAGGTCCGCGATAACCTCGAGGCCGGTTTGCTTCGGATGACCTGCTCCAGGCGCGTCTGTCCGCATCTGATGATCTTACTGGAGCCCAATGGACAGGTTATGTTCGACGACGACGGTGTGAACATCAACCAGTGGTTGGGCTGGGGCCACCCCCGGTATGTCAGTAGATACATGGCGTCCTCGGATGTCATGGACGGCATCCGCGTTGCGGTGGACGGGCATGGGTACGAGCCGATTGGCCACTGCAACCGTTGCGCGATGGATTACACAATCATTGCGTCGCACGGTGTTGTGACACTTCACTCGTGGCATGATTTGGGGGCGTATGGGTCACCTGAAAGTAACGAGTGGATGGTGCATATTCAGACGGCGGAGAATGACTCTTCTAGGGGACCGACTGTATATCATGAGCTTGGTAGTGTGCAGCAGATGTACTTGGAAGGCTGATGGACACCTTGCATTATTTCGAGGTTGCCTAGTGAGACAGCTCAGCCTCTTTTGAAATGAGGTTAGTCTAGAATACTCAAGTAGCTGCTCTGGTAAAAGTATTACAACTCATGTCCTTGACCCTCAAAGGAAAGCAGCCAGCTTCTTGAATACAGTGCTATAGACTGAAATGCAGATCCCATCTATTATCACAACGTCGTTCGTGCGCCATGCGTCCAAGCAAGTAAGGGTGCCCAGCTGACTACTGCCAATGCTGACAGCTCAAGGATTCCGGCGGCAGAGGTCTATGTCTACATATAAGCAAAGTCTACTCCCAAACGATTCTCTAATTAAGCTCTCAAAGCCACGTCACAGCTTCTCCTGTCTCTTCTTCCGCTTCTCTATCCCAACAAAATACGCTTCCGCCTTGGCAAGAACCGTACCAAGCTCGTCGGTGATCTCCGCCTCGACCAAGAACTTCCTAGGCCCGTCCATCCGCTTCAAGACCGTCGTGCAAGCCACCGTCGACATGGTCGGCACCGGCTGTATGTACGTGATGTTCAAGTTCTGTGTGACCTGCGGCAGCATCGGCATGAACCCCAGCAACTTGTTGATGAAACCGATCGCACCCATGCACTCGTCGAATATGGCCGCGACAGCACCGCCGTGGCACCACTCCTTCTTGAGCGTGCTCAGCCCATGGCCGAGAGTCAGGAAGCAGCGGACCTTGGTCATGTACAATTCGTCGAGGGGCCGGCTATCAGGAGGGTTTCCGTCGGCGCCCGGTGGTGGCGAGGGCATGTGGAAGCAGCCGATGAAGAAGGGCACCGTGGCCGCGCTGAAGAGTGTGGAGCCCCAGAATTCAAAGATGCGATTATCTGGGTCGAATTCGCGGCTGACGAGGGGTCTGGCGATGATGCCTGGTTCCGAGAGCACTTTGGCGCACCACGGTATCCCTTGGAAGTGCGCGATCTGATCATCCCATGGTTCCGGCATGGCGAGGGAGTGAATGGTCTGCTCAGACGAAGATCAAACTGAGCGAGTCAAATTTGGAGCTATTTCGTGGTGCAATGGTGAAGATCACTTATCCTTCCGTAGCTACTACCCCGGAACATGATGTCTGGTAGGGTCAGGACAGTTCCTAAATAGGACAGCTCTCGCACCTAAAGAGAATCAGTGGAATTGACGGAGATTAAAGCAGGTGCAGCTGTCCGGAGTGTCGCGATAAGGTGAGTGGTAGTCTGATTAGTGAACTTCAAGAAAGTTCTCGAAGGCCCATCAAAAGGCTAGGTTCAAAAAAACTTAGATAGATACTGCAGTCAATTTCTAGTTTCTGAATCGTCAGAAAATCAAAGGAAATATATGCCGGCAGACTCAATTTGTAGCATGTGGTGGCATGACCTTGGCATGAAGCTCAGTATCACTAATCAAGAACAGCATGTCAACAGGACCCCGAGCCGTGGCCGGAGTTTCTGATTGCCGTCACTGTAGATATACGAGCTTTCGACGTGAGTTATCCACTCAAAGTGTTATCTTATCTTAGATTGACACTACGTTTGCTGCTCTTGGATCCTCCGGAGTTGCGACATCTGGGACGCCAAGGTCGCCATCCGCTAGTCTTTAGATGTGAAAACTAATGGCGAAGCTGGCTTGTACAAGATTGCTTCCTCAACTTACACTATAGTTCTCGGCAGCCTGCAGGGTCTTAAATGCCTCAGGAAACCGAGATTTGGTGGTACACTCAAACGGAACCGGGCGTCTGGCATCCAAAGTCAGCGACAGCAACAAACTGGTAAGAGTACAGGGGTATCTCACACAACGACACCGTCATCGACACATCCATCAACATCTATAGGGACATTCAACCCATCGTATCCCACCTTCGGCTCAATCTTCATCGCCCAAAGCACCGTCGCGATAGTGATGAAGAGATCCTCATTCGCAATCTGGCGCCCGACGCACAACCGGCGGCCAAACCCAAACGTGACGTGGCCCTGTTCTTTCGTCTCCGCTGCCAGCGGCTTGAGCTGCCCAGTCTTGGGATCGAGGAACCGAGCTGGGTTGAAGTGATGGGCGTCCGGGCCGTACGTGTGCGGATCGCGGTTCATGGCCCAGACGTTGGGGATGAGCAACGAGCCTTTTGGTATAAAGCAGCCTTCATACCATATGTCCTGTGAGAAAGAGTCAGGTTACTGAGAGATTGTAGACGCAAGGCTGTGACTTACCTCGGAGCTCTGATGTGGAAGACCTATTGGATCGACTGGTCGCCACCGAAGTGACTCCTTGACCTGGACAAGTTCAATCGTGAGCGATGTCGTTTCACGCGACAGAGAGGAGTCTCTGAAAATCCGACAACTCACCATGGCTTGAATGTAAGGTAGCTTTCCGTAGTGATCGGCAAAGTTCGGCATCGCCTCGCGTCCCACGACGCGATCCAGCTCCTCCTGGGCGAGCTGCTGCACCTCGGGGTAGACGACCATAGCCAACATCCACCACTCGAGCACGCCCGTGATCGACTTTGCCCCGGCACTGGAGATATTTTGTCAGAAAATTGATCACATCAAAGAGGGTCGGTATACCTCGTAGACGGACTTACATGACGCTCGCCGCGAGCCAGTTGATTTCCGTGTCGGATAAGTTGCACCGGCTCTGGTCCTTGATGAAGCTTTTGACGAGACAGTTGCCGCCATTGACACCTCTCTGCAAATGTTTTCAGCACACAGAACTTCCAAAAAGACAATAGGGGTCACCCATGCAATACTCACAAGTCTGGCCTCCTCGAACCAACTTCCAAAGATAGCAGAGTCCGCCGCAAACGAATCCTCCACCCGCCTCTTCCAAGGCGCGAATCTAGACAGAAAACATCAGCATCCTCATCACCGCCGTAGTGACTACACTGTCCAATCTGCCAAATAAACATACTTAGATGGTACATGTCTCAACCAAGGGAAGACCTGACTCAAATGCGCACCAGGCAGCGCAGCCTTGGTCAACCGCGCGACAAAGTCCTCAAGCCAAACCAGCTTCAAATCGCTGGCCGACGCGAGGGAAGGCGTGCCGTATACCAGATTCATGTTCGCCGAGGATACCGCGCGGTGCAGGTGCGACAGCCAGTCCTGCGGGTCCTTGAGCATGTCCGCCGCCAGGAGTGTAGCCTCCTTTTGCTGGACGAGGCGGATGTCTGGGAAGGAGATGCTGCGGAGCGCTGTGTGGGAGGCCTTGCGCATGCGCAGCCACCTGGAAGTTCGTAGTGAGCTTTTCTGCTCTGCTTCCTTTGTAGATGTATGAATGTAAGGGGGCATACATTGCGTTCTGGCTCTGGAAAGGCACGAAGCAGGACCCCGTCATCATGTCTATGATGACGTTACCGGGCCGGTCTGCTGTGACGGCAGCGCGACGATCCAAGATGTCGAACGAGGTCTTGAGGTCGTTGAGGACGACTACATCGCTTCCGGCAGCGGTGAAGTGCATGATGGTGCCTGATTTGGCTCGTGTTAGTCGGTTAGCCAGTGGAGGGAACCGCGGGACGAGCATACCATACGTCTTCATCCAGCCGCCAAAAGTCAGCCACGGATCTTTGAGGACGTCGAGGGCGTTTCCGAGGAGGGGCAGCCCTCTCAGGCCTGGCGGAAGACGCCGTCTCGGGCTTCGAGCGTATGTAAAGACGAGAAGGAAGACCGAGACCACGGCGAGAGCCGTGATGGACCTGTAAGTCCACAAGAGACGTAAGAGAGCATCGGCGAACTGCATTCTGGCGGTCATGAATTCTTTTCAGCGAGGTGAGCTATCACTGATGGCGAGCCATTGTTCCCCTCTTATGTAGCATAGGTGCTTTCTCTTGATAGATCTCATATACGGCCAACAAGCCAACATAGGGTCAGGCTCCGCCGGACTTGCCGGCTTTCTCAACATCACCGTGACCAACGCCCTAGCCCGGTAGCCGTTCCAACAGAGCAAACGGTCCAGCGTAGAAAGTGTTCAGCTTTCATAGCCTCTAGAATGTCTCGCCACTTGCATCCAATAGAGTCCTTAGATTCAAGAGTCGAAACATTGGTCGACGATGCGCTGCAATACAGGCGGAACAATTGGCCTGTTGAAAGAACGACCCCCCCCCCCCCCGGGCAGGGAGGCTCAAGGGCTAGATTCTCTGCTTTCCCAATGCGATTCTTGCCCCCTTTCTCAGCTCGGGCTCATCATGGGCCGGAGATATGCGCCGGACTTGGGAGCTTCTGAACTGAAGAATTCAGGGTTTTCGATATAAGGCTACGGCAGAGGCGTTGCCAAAGGTACATTAGTACCTAGTTAGTCCCGGGTTTGTGAGTTGTTTGCTCCCTGCGCCTATGTGTCTCTTATTGCGTGTGAGACCTGGCTGGATCACTTAGGTCCCAGCCAGCCTGCTTTTCCCCGTTGCGAAAGGTACGTTGTGGCTTGAATGCAGGGATGAAGCAACTCTCTCCCAGACCGGTTGAACCAACAGCGGAGCTAACGATAGCCTGATCCGGGACCCGTTGATCTGGCCAGGTTGTAGTTCTCTACCAGAAATCGACTCCAGCAAACACATCTAAAGCCATTGAACCAATGGCGTGGTACAATTCGGAGGGGCTGAAGATATGGAGGGCTAAATACTCAGGTGTGGGCAGCCTCAGTAATTGACTGTGTCCAATCCTGTTGCGTTCCGCGGTTCCCAACGCTTGTTGGTCGCTACCCGCGAGCTAGGTATGCGAATGTTTGTCAAACAATGCACTTCAAAGAAGCTAGCGTCTTCGTTAGACACCACCTTTTTGTGTTGGAGCCTCCCTATTGGAAATGAGGGATTTGAGACATGGCCGCGAGGAGCTACTTCACACGGAATTAGAGCCCTGGGTGCCCGGGCCGCCAAACCACGAGCCGCCATCCCATGATCCGCCTGGTGCCTCCGGCTTCCGGATCGGCAGCGCCTCCACTTCCCAATCGGAGCGGAACCCAGCGCGGTCATGTCAAGCCCGGGCCGAAGGAGCCCTGCCCCATCAAGCTCTGCGGATCAAGGTCCGCCGCACTCCGGTAACGTGTGTATGTCGGCGGAAAAACCAATCAAATTCTCTGGTCCACGTCGGCGCGACGCCGTGTCGGCCTCAAAAGGGAAACGTATCCAAACCGTATCTTCAACGTAAGTTTCCTCTATTATGGAGGAAATACCATTGTCAGGCACAAACGGAACGTTGAAAAAGACTGAAAGAACCAAAACGTCACTCGCAAACCCAAAAGGCTACACCCAAGACTGTCGTTCCCGCTTTACTGAAGAACTCAAATTTCGCCCTACCTCACCCTCTCTCGGCACACTCAACCTTTTCATCGTCAAGAGAGGGCGTGGACATGTTACCAAGAAGGAAGTAAAGGCGAAAAACAAGGGAGAACTTAAGTAGAAAGCAAAAAAGAAAAAAAAAAAAAAAAAAAAAAAAAAAAAAAAAAAAAAAAAAAAAAAAAAAAAAAAAAAAAAAAAAAAAAAAAAAAAAAAAAAAAAAAAAAAAAAAAAAAAAAAACAGAACGAGAAAAGGAGAACGGCCAAGATGTCAGTTCACGTCGGGTCGTCCCCGAGACTCAGACGGGGCGGCACTTGTCCAAACCTTTGCCCTCATCTCGGGACGTTGCGATGCTTTTGCTTCAAAGGATGAGGCGAAACTTCTGACATTAGCCATTTTGCCAACTTTTGCGTTCTACTCGCAGACGCCGCGATGCAAGTAAACTCGGGACGACAGCAGCCACGGCCCTCGGCACCGACCGAAAGAACAAAAAAGTGATGACTTCTCTACGGTGCGTAAGTCAAGTTCTGTGTTTCCCGACGGAGAAAACACGGACTTTTGACCTTGAGCGGCTCGCCGAGAAGGGGTACCTGAGGTAGATAAGTGGACTCGCGATTCAGTTGCAAGGTTCTGGTACCTGCATCATCACGAGCGAATATGATAAGGTAAGGTAAAGTAGGCATGAGAATCCGCGCAACCATAAGGTAAAGGTCGATAGTAGAGGGCAAAAGACAAAGGGCAAACAACCCGAAACCATGTTGCGGAAAAGTGCGTAAAAAAAAACATGATCCCGTTGCTAGACGAACTCCGACATACAGAATCTTTCATCTGTTGGAACCTTAGATACGGTGATTTGGAGGGTGGAGTTGACCTTCTCATCGTTGCACTTGCTCATTCAGTGGCACACTTGCGAAAACCGACGATAAATCAACTCGAAACCAACACGCTGAAAGCCAAAAGGGAGATGGGGGAAAACGGGTAAAACGGCCTCGCAGCAACGGACGGGAATAGGGAAGAACAAAAAAGCCAAAAAAAACAAAAAGCGAAATTAAGCCTCAAGTCAAGTACAACTCTCAGAGTTCAAGTAAAAGAGTCATGAGAATAAACCTTCCGACGCAAGCCCAATCAAGACCACCTTGCGCGCGCGTATGTGTGTGTGTGTGTGTGAGAGAGAAATCCCAATCGCCGAAAACAAAGAAAAGACCTCAAGATTAAGCTCCCCAAAGGCAGAAATAAACATCAATCAATCTCTCTTCTCGCCCGCCCCCCTTCCGAAACGTTAAAACGAAATCTCCTAATTAATATACCTCCACTAATCCGTACCCTACCTTAGCTGCTAAGGCCCATTGCCCCCTCCCACGAGACCTCAAACACCCCCTCCCCAGAACCCTCCTGGCACCACACGAAAAGTGCCATCCCAACCCATGACACATGCCCCAATCCACAAACCATAGGTACCCAGATTCTAGCCTCGACTCGTGACATCACAAGCCCGGACCTTAAGCCTCAAGCCCTGAATTCGTAAATATAAGTCCGTCTGTTAAGGCTGTTCTACGGTACCGCAAGCCCCCCCCTCTGTCGCAAGATCCCTTCCATCCGTCCCAACTCCGGCACTACAAGAAGAGAAGAATGGACAACGTGAAACACGTCTCAACTCTTCTTTACCCTATTTTCCTCCCCTCTCCCATGGGCCATACCCCCTCTCAGACCTGCCAAGTCGAACGCCAGTCTCCAACCCACACACACGTATCCCACTCAACGGCACGCGACGCTGGAGAGTCCAGCTTAGTCATGTTCAAATCCCTCCCATCAGGCCTACTGAAAGACACCCCCAAAACAAGCGGACCAGGCACCCTAGACACCAACCCCAGCGCATAACACGGCCCCCCGGCCGAGACATGTGCCCCCCCCATCATCGCGACACGCAGATCAGACGCCGCAGCTCGGACCGCAGCTCGGCACCGCAGCTTTCACTGTACAGGTTCATCAACATCAGAGAGAAGGGACGTTCGGCGCAGTGTTGCCGGTATACCTCCTGCCACCCCGACTTTTACTAAGATGGGGTGACATCGTGACTTGTCATCTGTTAGTGGATCGCGGAACTCCTAGACAAGATATCACGACATGTCAAATCAGTAAGAACCAAAGAACCAAGCAAAAGTAATCCAAAAAAACTGTGTGCACTCTCTACTGGAATTGTGTCTTCCATTTCTTTCCAAGCCATGCTGCGTATCCTGTCAACGGAAAAACAACTCCCTCTAAATGTACAGAAAGGTCGGATCGTAAGATTTTGTGTCATGGTGATGAGGTGATGAGATGTGTGTGAGGGTTGTCGGGGAGAGGGGGACATTAGAACAATAATATAGAGGGGGAGGGGTTTGCCAGTGTTGTCGTTGATGATGTGTGAGTGTGTGGTATCGAAGCACGGGGAGCGCTGGTTTTCATCAAACAAAAGAAAAAACCATCCACGCCAACCTGCTCATCTAATAACCTCCTGCCAGTTCGTGTAGAATATAACAACCCCAAGAAATTAAAAACAGAGAAACACCAGAACACTTTTTGGCGACCCGGGTGAACCCAAAAGCATGGAGACTTGTCGTTGTATGTGATGTAAAAGGCCCGTGTTGTCCGTATCAGCGCGCGCGTGCATATCCCAATAATCCCTCGGTTGTTTGTCGTCCTTGTCGTCGAAAGGCATTCCGATTATGAGAGCTCCTGGATGCAGGTCTGAACCTGGGCATCACAGTCGGCCGTGGTGACCCCGTTCAACTTTCCACCGTTGAAAGCATTGAAACAGGCATTCCGTTGAACATCGCAAGCACGCTGCGCCGCATTGGCCTTGGAAACGAACGAGTTGCCATTGACGGAGAATGGTCGGCTGCTATCGCCAGAGTCCGAGACCGCCGGGGCCGCGATTCCGCCGATAGCGTTCGACGTCGCGCCTCCCTTGCCAGATCCAGAAGAAGTGTTACCGTTGCCGTTCTGTCCGGATCCATTGCTGTTGGCCTTGCCATTGTTGGAGGCACCTCCGCCCTGGGTGGGCGTTGGCGTCGCTGCCGCCGGGTCTACCGAAGGAGTCGCCGTCGCGTTCTCCGAATTACTGGCGGCGTCCCCGTCCTGGCCGGAGTTGTTAGCATTGGGAGCTCCCTGTGTGTTTCCGGTCTGGGGTTGTGCTGTGGCCTGTCCAGGGGGTGCGCTTCCAGGGAATTGAGGAAATTGGCCGGGGAATTGGCCTGGGAACTGTGTGTTTGGAAATCCTTGAGGGGGGTTCTGAGGTGTTGCTTGAGCATTACCTTGACCAGCGCCTCGTCCAGCACCGCCGCGACCGGCACCTCCTGCAGCACCGCCTGCAGCAGCGCCGGCGCCTTGTCTGCCTCCGGCTTGCTTACCTCCACGGGCAGCTCCGCCCTGGTTGTTGTCTTGTATCCGTTAGTACATCAACGAAACATTGCAGTATCACTGGTCGACTTACTCTGCTGGCCTCCGTTGGCAGCGTTGCCGCCGTTGGCAGCGTTGCCGCCGTTTCCACCAACGGTGAACTTGTTGCAGTCATCCTGGGCACCACGCTGAGCGACGGGCATCAGAACGGGCTGATGGTTGGAGGCACTAGACATGGTGCAGACGCGGTAGTTTCCGGCGGGGAGACCTCCAGTGACGGTGGCCTTCAGGTTACCATTGCCATCGCCGGCATCGTTGATGCCCTTGAAGAAGACAAACTTGGAAGCATCCAGGGGAGTGTTGGGCGTCAAGGAGTTACCCATATCCTGAACAGTGACGTGAACGTGGCCGATAATGGTACCGCCGCCGCTAAGATCCTGGGGAGCCGAGTAGTAGGTAGACTGAGCGTCAGTGAAGGAACCGGCTTGCAGGTTGTTAACCTTGAGCTCGACATCAAAGTCCTGGTTGGCCTGGATGTTGCCGTTGTGAGGGGGATTGTTGATGACGGTAGACACCATCTTGGTCTGGGCGGGGATCTTGCCCATGGGGATACCGTTGCAGGAACCGCCAGTCTTCTGCTCACCATCGGTGAGGGTAGAACCGGAGCAAATGTTGATGAAGTTGGCATTGTCGCTGCAAGGCAGTAGGTTAGCGCGTTTCGGGGGTTGCCTGTGCCGTGTATGTGTCAATACTCACGTCTTCGAGTTGGCCTGTTGGGCGTTGGGCTGTCCGGCCTGCTGCGAACCCTTTTGCACCGCGTTCGTTTGCAAACACAGAGCTCCGTTACCAGCGTTGGCATTTCCACCCTGGTTTGCGTTTCCACCTTGGTTTCCGCCTTGTCCACCACGGTTACCACCACGTTGTTGACGCTTGGCGAGGGCGGCGCTCAAAGGCGAGGCATCGAGGAAGGCGACGGAGGCCTCGGCGACGACGGCCATGCCCGCGAGGGCAGTGATGAGCTTTTGAATCTGCATCTTGTCTCTTTCTTGTTGATCGTTGGGGATAAATCCGAGGGAGTTGTCGACCGAGTCGCTATCAATAAAATACTAGATTGTCGTTCGAAAGGGGTTGGTTCCAGACCGAGGAGCGAACAAGAGTAGAGTACGAAAGGAACGGTCACAGACACCTGAATACGTAGCACAAGCTGAAAAGAAATGAATGAATGAATGTGAAGACACACTCCCAGCGTGAGGCAACAGGATGAATGGAAATAAAAGTAAAGGGTGGAAGGCGAAAAGAATGATCGAGACTGAGCGCTGCTGGGGATTAAGAAGGGAGAGGCCGAGACAAATATGCGATCAGTGCCAAGCTTTCAAGTCTTATATGCACAGGGCTGTGGTTGCAGGCTGGTGCCGGTTCGACCAAGGGGTCGTATGAACGGAGACAGGCTCCATGACGGCTTGGGGGGGAGGAATCGTCTCCACGAGTCCAAAACGCGGCGCAGGGGAGATGGGAGAGGAGGAGAAGAAGGAGGAGACAAGGGCTGACAGGAGCCCGTCTGCAGACTACCTAGTACCTAGCCATACACCATACTACTGAGTATACCTTACGGATAGTACACGGCTCAAACTGTTGGCCGGGGGTGTGAGTACATGGATGCTGCTTAGCATCTGATCCCCGTGCGGGCAATTGGCAGGCCCGCAGTGGGTGACGAACCAGGGGGTGGGAAAAGGTGATGAGGGTCTGTCGGCTCTCTATGAGAAGGTGTCCGTCGAGGGAGGAGAGAGAGAGAGAGAGAGAGAGCGACAAAGAGACTGGGTAGGTAGCATCTGTCTGATGAGATGGTATGCGACAACTAGTTGACAAGGGCAGACGCCTCCAGGCTCCGAGAAAGTAGGGATGATGGATCGGGGGGTTGAGTGAAGAGACGGGAGAATAGAGATCTGAGCTTTGGCAGGGGTGGTCGAGTTTAGCTGCATGGATGGGACGGGAACGGCGACAAAGATGTTGGTCAGAGGCGTAGTGTATTGAAGAGTCTCCGTAGTGTAAGGAACGGACTACTACGTAGTGTACGGAGTAGACGGATAGAAAAAAAGAGAGACAAGCTACAGATGAGCAGGGGATGTCGTTGTCCCAGACTGGGAGAGGGTGGGCACCCTTGACGGACAGTTCCCGACTTCTTCAGGATGGCAGGTAACGAAGTTGAGTCGAACAGGGCGGC